TTTGCGACCTGTGGTTTTTTATTTTTTTAAAAGTCAATTTTTGAGCTACAGTGCTCATCTTCGGACTCGATCTGTCCTTTTATGATACAAAACGACCATGAAATAGGGTATTCCGGGTAAGCTTGGCGCCGGAAACGGGAGGCGAAGATGGCGCTGGTCCGCTCTCAGCCTCATTGCTTATGTATCCGTGCGTCTGCTGTCCATTGCTCTGCCGCATTTGTCAGCTACGACATCATGCTTCAGATTATTGTGATTACGTGTTATTATGCCAGCAAAAGTGTTTTGAATGATATTCTCACTCTTAAAATCGAGATTGAAATCCAGACCACCACCTAACTTAACGCCGGCGTGCAGTTGACAGCAGACGACCGGATGTAGAAGCCGCGAGGCTGAGATTCGGCCAGCGCTATCCTCACCTCTCGTTTCCGGCGCTTCGCTTGTCCGGAATACCCTATTCCCAGATCGCTCTCTCAATAAAGCATTCCGGTAAAGCTAATGCAGAAGAATGTGGGGAAGAAGAAAACGGAAATCGCTATGCTTTCACATGGTGACTTCTGTTTTCTTCTTCCCCGTATTCTTCTGCATTTCAGCTTTACCGGAATGCTTTGTTCTTTCTCGAGTTATCGTGCGGACAGACAAACAAACAGAATGGAACTTTTCTGGTCAGTGGAGTAATGGGCTTCGCTAATCGCTCAGCCAACAAACGTGAAGAGTGTCTGAACGGAGTTGTCTGCGTAGCGAGGTGAAGCTGGCAACTTCGTTCGTAGGAAGAGCCGGCCCACTTGTTTTGATTTGGACAGCCCCCTCCACTCGCCTGCGCGCCCACGCACCGCTTCCCCCTCCCTGATGTGAGGGGTCGAGAGCGCAGCGCCACAGGCGCAGTGCTGGTCCGACCATGGCAGCGCACGGGTCCCCAGCGACAGAAGTTGACGTCGTAACAGCGGCCTTGAAGGAGATCGCGGCAAGGCGAGGCGTCACAAGGCCTAGGTAAGCTCGTACCATGTATAGTTGTCCCAGCCAAACTTCTCGACTGAGGCGACGCGTCTTTAGCCCATATCTCGGTCAGTTTTTGAGCTAGAAGCCTAGGACTTGGTGACGTCTTAGGCCTGTATAAGACGCAACTTTTAGGGCAAACAGAGCCATCCTAGCTCTTCTGTAGCTTTCAGAAAGGCGGCACCGCAACGGTCGCCCAATCAAGAAGTTTGTCTGGGACGACTACCAGCTATATGTACGCCAGACCACGTCTCGCGTAACAGGCTTCGTGATGTCTCACGAAACACTGTTACGCTGCGACGCGCCCGGGGCACGTATTGCTAGGCCTGCGGCGCTGACACCCGAGACGAGTTAATGAGAGGGTATTCGGGAACAGGGCCTTCCGGCCCCGAAATTTGATATACTTACAGCATTTGTTGGGGACTTATTACTCTAAAATAGGGTATTCCAATGGAGCGCGGAGCAGAAGCAAGAAGAACAAAAACGGAAGGTGGAAAGGCGCCCGCACTCCTCCTCGCCTGCCTCACTCCTCCCCGGGCGCTCCCCCACTCCGTCTAGTAGAGGAGAGGGGGACGGCGCGGGCGCCTTTCCACGTTCCGTTTTTGTAGTTCTTGCTTCCGCTCCGCGCTTCATTGGAATACCCTATTAGCGACATGAAACATGAAACTTCTGCTGTTCCATAACGGTTTTCATTAAAGGTTCGAATTTTGACAGATTGTTATGTAAAAACAATGTTTTAGTGATACTAAATAATATAGGGACCCTTGAGCCTAAAGGAGGGTGTGTGTGGTTCGACGTCAACTGTGTTTTAGTATTACTTCCTGCACAATTTTTCAATATAAGGCCTCTCTTACGACTTAATAGACCATTTAGTCGTTTTAACCTTATTTTTGCCAAGAAATGCCTCCTAGCATCCAAACGGTACGAGATAGAGCAAAACGGACGAAATTTTCGGCCGGAGATTCTACTTTCACGAGTTATCGCTTAGGAACCCCTATAATCGAGGGGTGCCCAACTCGAAAACATCGTGTACACCTGATTACCAAAAATCGACGATTACCAAGGATTACCAGAGATTACCGAGGATTACCGGGGATTACCTATGATTACCAAGAGTTTCCGAAGATTACCATTGACAAAAGATTACCAAAGATTGCCATCCATTACCACTGATTACCAGTGATTACCAAAGATTACCAGTGATTCCCAAAGATTACCAGTAATTACCAAAGATTACCAGTGATTCCCAAAGACTACCAGTGATTTCCAAAGATTTCTAGGAATTTCCTTGCTGGATTACTGAGTGGTTACCAAAGATTACCTGGTGATTACCGACGATTACCTGTTGATTACTTACGATTACCTAGTGATTACCATGGATTACCGGCGATTACCCTGGATTACCTGTGATTACCAAGGATTACCGGCGATTACCAAGGATTACCGGCGATTACCAAGGAT